TTGGAAGGTCGATATACTATGCGATGGGCAGGATGAGGAAGCTCGGTGTTGAGGTGATGGTAGGGGTGGGGAGAGCGGCTGAGGGTTCGGAGTTCATCCTTGTCTTCTGTATCGTGGCCGAAGAGAGCGTTTGGTGCGAGATGCTCGGGCATGGCGAAGCTATCGCATCGGAGAGTGCCGCGGGGGCAGCATCAATTCGAGAAAGACGAGGCCGACCTAGGCGTGGGCGTGGTGGAGTTGGTTGACGGTAGCCGTGGTGGTGCTAGGTAGGCAACATGGAAAGACGGAAGGGAGCGTGGTTGAGACGAGGATGGCGCTAAGGGGGAAGGTGCGGCTCGCAGGTCGCAAAGCGGAATCCGGGCGTCAATCAGGGGCCGGGAGTATTTTGGTAAGCTGTGAATGTTGTCGTGGATGTTTTTTTCACACGTCAGACCACAGCGGATTGGAAATGGAGGCGTGGAGGGGACAAGTTGACGGCGGCGAGGCGGTTGTGGGGAGAGAGCTCCATCACATGAAAGTACCAAATTGGTGAGGTGAGGACCACTTTCAGCGACACTACCTACCTATGGATTCCCTTAGACAGGCGTGTTGTCATTCTCCCGTCTGCCACCACCAGACCAGTGTTGGGGAGCCATCAGCCGCGCGGCCGGGGAGAGATGCGCCAACGCGACTGGCTGGGCGGGACAGCAACAGCGCTGTGCACGCCAATGACAGCCTGTGGAAGAGGGTGACAGCGGGCAGCCGGGCGCGGGAAGACAGGCTACCGCCGCGAGAAATCCCCACCGGAACCCAGTGGACCACGCACTGGGAGGGGGCAACGTGCACGGTCGGGCGAGCCACACGATACAAACATCACCGCGGTGGCTCAGCGACTTCATTCCCTTGGCGCAGCCTCCTTCGCCCCAGGTGGAAGCCGCACAGCTTACCTAACGCTCCGACACGGGACCGAACAGCAACCAAGAAGGCCGCTCCATGGTTATCGGGCAAGAAACTCATCAGGGTGCGATGCTGACGATAGGCACCTGTGGCTGTTGTCGAGAGTCGAGAGTCAACAGCCGTCACCCTATCGCCAGATGAAGATACTCATGCGACACCATCCCAGACGCTGGTGACCTCATCTACAGTGTCCAGGCCGGCGCATACCCAATTTGCGACCGCAATGCGCCGGATATTGCGAATTCCAGCAGGCATTGCCCGGCCTTTTAGTCAACGGCACACAACACAGTCGCCATCACCATGTCATTTTCAAGTAATCGCACCACGAAAACAACGAGCACAGGCCAAGGGCCAGAAAGCATCATTCAGCCCTCCAAGAGACGGAAGAAAAACTCAATTGACCACGTCAGCCCAGCAGCCATGGCCATCTCGGCATCCGCCAGGTCTTGGCACCGATTCATCTGGCTGGGAGTCGCATCTGTCAAACCTTTTTCAACCATGCCTTTCCATGGCAGAGTAGAGTCGAGGCCTGGCTCTAGAGTCCAGCCTCAACCGAGCCCAGTCATCAGAGTTGGAACGCGGTGGACTGCTGACGAAATAGCAATTGGAATACTGGATATCGTGGGGAGTTCCTGTTGATCTTCCGAACGTTCCCAGTGCTTCTTCCAATGCTTCGAAAACTGGAGCTGGGCAGCAGTTCGCATCCCGCTGGACACCGCGGAGCCCGCCATGTGACCCATAACAAACAAGGTACACCACGGAGTACATGTCGGTTCATGACTTCAATTCAATTCTCCGTCGGGCGGTCGAAAACCTCACCGCGATCGTCGCCGTCGCATCTTCTTGTTGGCTTGCACAATCCGCCGAGAGTCGTCGCAAGCACGGCAGGCCTGCCAAAAATAACTGTCCATCGAAGCTGCAAGCCACAACACCAGATCGTGGGGCCGGGCCTGGTCGGTCGCAGAGCGTTTCCCAATCCGGAGCCCACCATCTTCAATTCTCTCCGTGGCCCGGCCAGTTACCGGTCGGGAGCTGCCTTCACTGCCTCAACATCTCGCCTCCCGCCAAGGTAGCTCCGGGATGCCTTAGCGGGCCACGAAGCGTGCGTCGACACCCACGAATCACCACGAATGAAGGCGAATAGGGTCGTCGTCCGGCATTCGGCTGCTCGACTGCGAATGCCCCATCCCAAGAGGAGGGGTCCTCATCCGTTTTCGTGAGAGGCCAAATCTCGTATCGCCTGGTCCCTGCAGCTTCTTGGGGATTGGCTGCCAGAGACTGGGGGTTACGCTGGAGAAACCGCAGCACAGGGCCACTGCTCCAAACAGAGCATGGGCAAAAGATAAAAAAAGTCAAAAAATACGAGAGGCTCTGTCAAAGACCCCCAAAGGCCCCATCGTGACAGCTCCGGTGCATGCAGTCTGTACCCGTTTCTCGGTTTGATAGGGTGACAGTACACCCTCTGACGGCCGGCTGGCTGTTTCACAAGCACGCAAACAGAACGTCAAACGGGTCTGACGGGCTGCTTGACCCTACGCAGTACGGGCGGCTTCAGGTGCACAACGCTTCAAACGGCCAACCATCACAGCCACCTCCACGGAGGACAAAGACAGTGATGTGCTACCCAGATCAGATGGATGCTTGTTGCCGCCATCTGGGCTCTGGATATGTAGTTGCACCTCGCCGTTTGACGTGTTCCACGCCGGATTCAGGTACAAGATGGCTGTTCAAGGGGGGGGACAGAGTCACATTATCGAAACACTCTTTTCTCCCTACGAGCCCAAACTGGGCTGAAGAGGGCTTGAAAGATGAGGCTCCCTCTTGCAATGGGCTGAGATGAGGGACTAGAGGAAAGGCCGAGCGGCTTATGTCCCCTCTCACTCTCCCTCAGATCATGAGACTCAACGCCCGCCCCGCGAAGCTGACGACCGAGTGTAAATAGTCAGCCTGCATGCAGTGACAGCGTGGACGATGTCGCGACAAGCTGCAGACAGACCAAGACTTGAAGCCCACAAGCCCAACCCCGGGCGTTCGCTAGGCGGCTGGGTGCAGGCCCCGAGAGTCAGCTCTCCAGGGAGCACAATGCAGGCTGGGAACCAATTGGCCAGCAAAACCCTATGGTCTGACTGATCAACGAAACATCAAGTCTGCATGTGGCAGTGTGTGGAGGAGACGTGTTCACTCTGCGGCGGCGCAGAATGCTACAAGCCCGTCCATCTGAACATGGCACACCAGCACACCAGACGACTCGTATTGCAAGCACGGCGTCACTCACCCGCGCTCGTCCAGCGAGCGAATGTGTGGGACGTTTGGATCAGACTGACGATGCCTCAGAGCAGATACGAGATTCTTGTGTCTGGTGTGTTTGGAGGCTCGCTGTGGTGATGTCACAACCCACTTGACGGGAGCGCCGGGCGCGAGCCAGTGGACTTAGACAGTGGACATCAGCAGCCGCCGCCGCCGTACCGTCGTGGATAGGGGCGGAAAGACATGCCTAGCGCAGAGAGCACGCCCGAAGGAATCGAGGAAAACCACAGAAGGCCTCGTCTACAGATTGCACTAATACATCATTCCTGAGAAGAAGAAGAAGAACAGGTCGATATCAAACTGGAACCGAGGACTGACGGCGGTGACGGTTGCTCGGTGGAAACCCGTTCCAGCGTGCCAGTCGATCGCTGGGGCGCATACCGGCCTTCCCTGGCAAAACGGACGCTGTGCACAGGACGGGAGTTGATGAGTGATGGAAGATGTGGATGAAGTGATGAAATGGGAAGCTCAATATTTGGGCCACGGTGAAGGGGGGGTTGCACTGGGGCAATTGGGGCTTCTGCCGCGAGAAATCTGCAATACTGTTGGCCGATTCTCATTCTCCAGAAGCTCCCTTGTCGAGAGAACAGGGGTGCAAACGGTGGCTCCGTGGCTCCGTCTGCGAGAAAAGAGCTATCCGTGGGCCATTGAGCATGGGTGCGCAGCTGATGGGACGGATAGCTCGACCTGATTTGGGCCGACAAGACAGGGGTACGTCGCCGGCGCGGCGAAACAGGGAATCTTGATATGCCTAGCACAAAGATTCTTCCCCCAGCCGTCTGGATAGACGGCAGCGCGCAGCAGGTGTGCAGGCTGCCTGGGACGATCTTCAACAGGTTTAAACGCCAATCCCCTCGCTCACTCTCGCCTCTCGCGCTTTTCCATCTGATCCCCCAATCTTGTCTCTCGCCATCCATCCTCTCGCTCGATTGCTCCCGTCTGCCGGCAACTGCGATTGTTGTTGATTTGTTTACCACGCTCGCTCGTATACATCACTGCCGACACGACACGTCTGTACCATTCACAACACATCGCCACCCGATCGTGCCGCCTATCAAGCCGTATCAACAGCCTGCTCATCTCGACTCATTCCTCAGTCCGAGCCTCGTGAGATTGCCGGACCAGCACGCTAATCTGCGTACATACCTTCCAGAAGACTCAACGCCTTGTCAGACACTGGGGTTTTTGAGTTCAAATTTCAATCGACGCTTGCATTCGTCCACTCTAAAACGAATAAACAACCGACGGCAGAGTCTCATTCTCAAAAGTTTTGAGCTAAGAGCGTGCCTCATCCACCTCGCAGACCTCAGCTAGCGTGCCGGGTCTTGAACAAGCCTTGGCCCTACTCTCAACACCAGCCACCGATAAAGGTTTTCGGCCAGCCAGGTACCACCGCATATCGTTCTTTTTAGATCGTCTTTTGCCCCTCCCTCACACATCAAACGGAGGCCGCTTGTGACCTACGGATATACAAAGCTCCCAAGCCTCCTGGCTCGAGTCCACCATTCGGGTCTGATTCCCCTCCTCCTCTCTTACATCTTTTTGCGTTTCGCCGCCATGCAGCAGTGAGGACGCTAAAAGAAGGCCCGCATCTTGTCACCGACTCTACCCTGCATACGTCCGAGTCCAGTTATTGGACGTTATCTTCCCTGTCGTTTCCGTCCTGCCGTCTTGGGCAGAACCTTCTGAACCTCTTCGTCCCCTCTTATAACAACCCATATCGCCTCACGTCTCGGCCACCGGTCTCTTTCGCTACCATGGCCTCCGACACCAAGTACGACTCCCGCCTGGAAGAGGGACTGCTGCCTATCGACGAGAAGAGGGATTCTACCATTTCCAGACCGTCCAAGGAACCTACCAAGAAGATGGCTGGGCCACGCCGTGTCCTGCTCGGCATTGTTGTGTGCGGCTTGATGACCCTAAGTCTTGCTTCAGTCATCGGTCACCGGGGCATGCCTTGTGCAAGGGACCATCACACCAAAGCCCAGGTTGTGATCAGTGAGGAAGACCTCAACAACCCTGCCAAGGCCGATCTCCTCCACAAACTGCTCCATGCCTACTTCCCAGACAGGTATCAGGATGGCGTATACGCCTCTGATAAGGAAGCTTTGGAGGCTGTCCAGGCTGATGATGCCGACCTAGCCTCTGCCTTGCTCCAGCTGGCCAAGCGTCAGGACAACACCACGACCTCTGCTGCTACCGAGGCTTCCCAGACGCCTTCCGCCAGCGTAGCCGCCACAACATCTGAGTCCGTGGCCAACACGCCGACCTCAGCCCCGGCTACATCCGCCGCTGAGCCTACCACATCTGCTGCTCCCGCAGAGACGACTACATCCCAGGCACCGGCCGTCCAGACGACCACGACCACGACCCAGCAGCCGCAGGAAACCACTACCCCTCAAACCACCACCGTTCCGGCTCAGGAGACGACTACTACGACACCGGCAACTTCAGCAGCAGCCCCTACTACTGGTACGTCACAAACGGAGCAGGCTACTTCTGCTGCTCCTGATACTACTACTACTACTACTGCCGGGCCGCCGTCCGCCTCTTCTGAGATTCAGACGACGACTCGTGGGTCCCCTTCTTCTTCTTCTCCCCCTTCCCCTTCTACTGCCCCCTCTTCTGAACCTACTACGGCCTCCCCAGGGTCTACGAGTGCGTCCGCGTCGGGTACGTCTACCTCCTCTCCTCCCGAGACTACTACGGCCGTGACATCCTCGTCCCCCATGACCTCGAGTGCGCCTTCGTCATCCTCTGTGTCCGAATCTGGTATGTTGCGTTGTGGTTTTGTAGCACAGTCATGTTTTCGAGCGAAGGCGGATGCCGTTTTTGGAGAGTTTTATGTGGCTTAGTTTCCCCTTCTACCTTTCTTCACTCATGGCCGTTTCATCAGTGAGAAAAAAGAGCAGCACGCTAACTTTCATTACAGAGCAAAACACTCGGGAGACCACCACCGCGACCACCTCGCGCAGAACCACCACCTCGTTCAGCAACGTCCTCTCCACTTTCACTTCCACCGCCTCCAATGGCGACGTCGTGCTCGTGACGGCAACCTCCGTCGTCGCCGTGGCCCCCGACGCCGAGCCGACTTCCACCTCCGGAAGCGGCGGCGGCGGCGGCCTTCAGAACGGTGCCGTCCCCATCGGCAGCGTCTCCTTCGGCGTGCCCGTCGCTCTCGCCGGATTCGTCGCCGGCGCCATGCTTTTGCTATAAGCAACGAAGTAGTAATACTTCCATCGTCACGTTGAGACGATTATTTCTGTTTACATACTTAATCATTTCTTTTAACACGGTGTTTTCGGTACAAACGGAGCGGGCGGCACACACAGCATCATCAGCATTACTTACTCACGACATTCAACGGTCTTATTCACTCCTTGCATCAAACTGGTGGGCAGAACAACACAACACACAACAACAACAACATAGAATTCGCGCGGTAATGCGCTATCCCGCAGAGAGGGAGGAGGCAGGATAATAGACGGAGGCTGGGGAGAGAGAGAGAAAAAAAGAAAACGGGACAGAGCGTCAGTACGGCGGAAGAAAACAGGTGTTGACAAGAAAAGCAACTCCACCTGAAGGCAGTCCTTAGCAGACCAGACCCATGCAACAACAGACATGGGAGAAAAGAATGAAATCAAAATTGACATTTCAAAATCTTGAGACAGTGCCGTGCCGATGATTTGATGATGGCTTGGAACATTTGTGTTTGAGTGTGGGCGTTCCCGCATTCCAGCTCGAAGCTGGTAAAATTATGAGATTGCGCTACTGTTTTGGAGGCGTTGGTATGTGGGCACATGCCCTTTGGAGATGAGTGTCGATTGCCCTTGAACGGCATCACCTAATCATTCAGGATGGTTCGAACAGCAAATGTGGTTTGCGAAACGTCAGTCAGGGGCACCGAAAACAAAACGTGGGCGCTGCATTTTGCTTCTCTTCATTTCTATCTTCCTCTTCATGACTTTGCGGGTATTCATAACGCCAAAAACCAGAAAACTCCTAAATGATCCATCCACACACGAATGCTGTCAGATTTCGTCCTCTCGCGATATGGCCTGCGGCCTTAGCCAGGGCCAATCTTGGGCATGTCGTGGTGTTCGCTCAGCTTGGACAGGTAGGTGTTGAGCTCTTCCACGCGCTCTTTGTGTGTCTTGAGTAGTTCGGGTCTCGAGCTGGACGACTCGGCAAGTTCGAGGAGCTGTGGGGGCATCATCGTCAGCGTTTTTTGTCCAGCAACAGCGAATCAATGGTTACAGGGTGGGAAAACGTACTCTCTTGCGCTTCCTCTCCTCATATCGCCGTTCGGCTTCCGTCTTGTGCCTGCCACCACCGCTGCCGCCATCCTCATCGTGATCACCATCCTCTGCCTCAGGGTCTTCACTCCTGCGCTTCGTCCTCTTGACCTTCTTGTCCTCCTCGTTGTTGTCGTCGTCCTGGTCGGAGCGGCGCTTCACCAGCGCCGTGCCGCCGTCAGTGCCATCGTCGAGGTTCTTCTCCAGGTCGCTCTTGTCCTTCTTGCTCTTCTTCTTCTTGGGCTTGCCGACCTTGGCGCCCTTGAGCTTGAGGCCGCCGCCGACGGAAGCGTACTCGTCGATCGGCATCGTTCGCGCGGAGACCGGGCGTTGGTCGGTCAGTTGGCGCCCAAGTTCAGGTATCCGCAGAAACGACTGATGCGCGTATTCGAAGTCGGAAGGGATGGGAGGGGAACGGATCCGAGCTGGCTTTGTCCGATCCGCGGCTTGAGCGGGGAGTTGCTCGTTTTGTTTGCAGGCCGGCGGTGGTGCTCCGTAGGTGTGGTTGCTTTTCAGTTGTCTTTGGTTTCGTTAGGTGCTCTCTAGTGTTGGCAGGCAGACCCCTGGCGCGCCCAGGTCTGCGGCTTCAGTGGCTTCGGTGGCTTGAATTGGCCCCCTTCCCCCCCCTGTCTCTAGCGGAAGTGCACCGGGAGGAGGCATTGCGCCCCACACCTTTATCCTGGTGGCAGGCGCCAAGATGGTTCTGCCGTGCAAACCACCAGCGGCCAATCATGGTTTGTTCCGGGTCATTGCTCCAGGGCACTGAGGGTCTGAGCGGGCACGAAACATGGGGGCCTCAGTGATGTTCCTGGAGCCAGCGCAGTCCCAGTCGCAGATTGAGATTGCCCAGAGCCCACCTCACAGCCAAGAGGCGGTTCTGGCCTGGGTGCAAATGCTTGACTCGGCCCCGTTCGTCCCTTTCAGACACTGGTTGACTGAACTGGCTGGCAACCAAACCTCTGCTGCAACCGACCAGTCATTCTTCTGAATCTGAGGCTCTGAGAGGGCGGCACATCCTGGATTGCTAAAAGAAGAAACGTAATCCAGTATTCTTGGCCGCTTGTCGCAATTCTCCGAACCGCCTTTGTTTGCGCCAAACTCAATTTTTCTTTAACCTCCTTTCCTCTCAATACGTACCTGTACCTCAACACCACCACCACCACCACCACCACCACCGACGACACCCGGACGGAAACACTACTACATCAGTACACCTCCTCCTCTCTGTTAAACCCCCCCGGCGCCCGAGGCAATCTTATTTGGACACCAAAGCGATACATGTCTCTTTAATTGCACAGCACTACACGCTTGCTTGCCTTGGATAACTTGGATTTTTTCGACTCTTGTTTTTCTTCTGGGGGACTCGGAAAGTGGGCATTAGAGAGAGAGAACGGGGCACGGCGCAACTTTGTCACGACTCCTTTAAACGAAACGTATATGCGAACGACGTCACGACGAATTCCTCCAACCACCGCTACTTAATATTCGAAACACCACTGCGTGCGCAGGCGACTATCTATTGCGTGCGATCCGTCTCCACCGGCCCTGAACAAGTCGGCGCTGCAACATGCAATAGCCCTCGCTGCAACTTCTTGAACGCTTGAACGAACCGACAGGTCGAGCGTCGCTGCTCGCGATCCTCCTCCTCCTCCTCTCCCCCTTCGCTCGAAATCCACGCCCTCCCTTCGCAGACGCAGCCATGCCGCCCTACACGAACATCCAGTCGCATCGCGACTCCCTCGAGCTCGCCTCCCTTGCCTCCTCATCCCGCGCCGAATCCGTCGTCTCAGACCTTCCCTCCTCGAGGCCCTCCATCTCCTCCTCCCGCAAGCTCTCCTTCGAGGCCGAAGACCCCCTCGATGCAGCGAACCCTGCCGCCAGCTCGAACCGCCCCAATCGACATGACCGCTCCTACTCAGTCTCCTCCGGCTTCGACTTCGCCGCCAACCTCTTTCCCCTGAGTTCCACTGCCGGCGCGGGGGCAGGCGGGTACGCCCCCATCGGCGCCCCGACCTCGACAGCGATACAGAACGGTGGCCTCGGCGGCGGCAGCTTGGAGAAGCACAAGATCCTCACCTACATGAACGGCTTGAGTCTGATTGTCGGTCTCATCATCGGCAGCGGCATCTTCTCCAGTCCCAGCCAGGTCAGCTCCAAGGTTGGGTCGCCCGGCGCCGCCCTCGTGGTCTGGGTTATCGCCGGCGTGCTTGCTTGGACAGGTGCTGCGAGTTATGCGGAGCTGGGCGGCGCGATACCCCTGAACGGCGGCGCGCAGGTCTACCTTGCGAAAATCTTGGGCGAGATGGCCGGGTTCTTGTTCACGTGGGTCGCCGTGTTGGTTCTGAAGCCCGGTAGTGCGGCCATTATCGCCATCATCATGGGAGAGTATCTGGTCAGGGCGGCGATAGGCGCAGAGGCGGAGAGCCTGAGCCCGTGGATCAACAAGGCGGTCGCCATGGTGGGGTTGATTCTGGTCACGCTCATGAACTGCGTGTCGACGAAGCTGGGCACGAAGGTGAACGACTGGCTCATGTTTTTGAAGTTTGTCGCCCTGCTGGGCGTCACCGTCACCGGCATTGTAGTCGCGATCACGGGGACCACCTTGACGGGCAAGGCCAACATGGAGTGGAAGACGCACGAGTGGTTCTCCGGCACTTCGACGGATCTCTCCAACTGGGCCGTGGCTCTGTATGCCGGTCTCTGGGCATACGACGGCTGGGACAACGTAAGATTCTCTCCCGGCACCGAGGTGGCACACCTTTGCTAACATGCGCAGACAAACTACGTCGTCGGCGAGTTCCGCAACCCGAGCCGTGATCTTCCCCGCGTCATCCACACGGCGATGCCTCTTGTGATCCTCTCATACGTTCTCGCCAACATCTCGTACTTCCTCGTCCTCCCTCTGGCGACGGTCAACGCCTCCAACACGATCGCCGTCCAGTTCGGCGCCAAGGTCTTCGGCCCCGTAGGCTCCCTCGTCCTCGCCCTCATCGTCTCGGCATCCTGCTTTGGCGCTCTCAACTCCTCCACCTTCACCTCCTCGCGCCTCGTCTACGTGGCCGGAAAGGAGGGGTACATCCCCTCCATGTTCGGCCGCATTGGCCTCTCCCCAACCGACTCCCACTCCGTCCAAACCTCGCGCACTTCGCGCGGGCGTGTGGCCAACATGCTGATCCGTGCCCTGGGCGATGATGACATGGGCCTGTTCTTCACGCCCGTGTGGGCGCTCGTGCTCAACGGCGTGCTCACGGCGGCGTACATCGTCGTCGGCGAGTTCGGCACCCTCCTGACGTTCTACGGCGTGGCCGGGTACACTTTCTACTTCATCACGGTCCTGGGTCTCATCATCCTCCGCGTCCGCGAACCGCAGCTCGACAGGCCGTACCGCACGTGGATCACGACGCCCATCATCTTCTGCTGCGTGTCGCTCTTCCTCCTCAGCCGCGCCGTCTTCGCGCAGCCGTTACAGACCGTCACCGTCGTGCTGTTCGTTGTCGCCGGCGTGCCAGTGTACTTTTGGCGCATACGCGGCCGCGATCAGCAGGTGATCAAGCGCGAGACGAGACATGCGGGACATGAGGAGCGGCCCTGGTGGCAGTTTTGGAAACGGTCTTGAGAAAGGCTTTTTCTCTCCCACCAGATTGAAAGCATCTCTTAGGCCGTTGGCGGGTGTGGTTGTTTGATTAGACCTTTTGTTTTGCACAATGGGAACAAGACGTTTCCGTCTGGAGCATTGGAGAGGGGAGTATATTTATCTATGGGCGGTTGTGTTTCTTGAAAAAAAAATGGAGTTATACTTCTCTTTTGGAAAACAAAAATAACCGGGCAACTTGGAAGCGCGCGCACGCTGTGTCTTTCTTGTTGCTTAGGCGGCTGGAGCACAATGGGTGGGAAGGGCTGTTTCTGAAAACATAGCCGTTG